GGGGGGGGGGGGGGGGGGGGGGGGGCCGGCGGGGGGGGGGCTGCAGCAGCTGGCGGGAGATGGAGCCAGGTGGGGCAGCAATCAGGAGGCTGGGGTGGGGCATGTGGGCCTTCAGGGGGGTGGTAGCCCCTGTGGAGGCCATTTGGCCCCTGTTTGGGGGCTGTACCCCTTATGTGGGGACTGAACCCCCTTTGTGTGGGGGACTCCCCTCTTTTGGGGGGCCAAACCCCTTCTGTGGGAGCCAAAACCCCTTTTGGGGGGCCAAACCCTTTGTGTGGGGGATGAACCCCCTGTTGGGGAGGGCATAGCTCTTGTGTGAGGTCTGAAGCCTTCATTGGGGGGGCTGAACCCCTTGTGTGGGAGACGAACCCCTTGTGTAAGGGATGAATCCTCTGTTGGGGACCATAGCCTTTGTGTGGGGGCCATCGCCCTGTGGGAGGGCTGAAAAATATGTATTCATGAATTCGTGAAACATGTATTTAGAGTTCACTTTATTATTATGATAAGAGACTTGCTTTAACGCTATAGATATATCAACAAAAAATTGTCCAACTGACCACTGTCTCTGTATCACTGTCTCTCTCTCTTTATAGTGGTCTTTTGTTTTACTTGTGGAGGAACATGGATTTGAGGATATTTTAGAAAGTGACTTTGGGATTTTTTTTTATCAGGGATTTTTCAGTTTTCCAGTAGGGAACACCAGAATTCCTGCTAGATAAGCCAGTGGCAGGACCCTGCTTGATCATGTCACAACCCAAAGGGTGTGATTTTTGTTTTTGTGTGCTTTGGCACTGCTAAATTGTTCCCGCTAAATTGCAGCTTCTTTGCACAGTGGAGTTTTCTGCGGCAAAAGAGACCCCTGGTGCAAGGGAGAATTTCCCGCCAATTTGAAGCTTTCTTTGCAGGGTGCATTTCTTTGTTGCAGCACAGAAATGCTCGTTGCAAAGAGTTCCCGCCATTTGTATGCTAATTCGAGCCCCATTATTGGCCAGTTCTAAATTATTCACACGTGGCGGCTAGTGATTGGCTTGCTAGCCGTATAA